CCATTCCAAGCTCCCTGTGGAATTTCGACCCCGGTCCACTATTCGGGTATTAGTTATTGCTACCCACTCTTCCTGCCATTGTGTAGTGTTGAGACGGCCGCGATCAGGGCTCCAATCCCTGAGTTAAGATTTTAGACATAGGGCATCCATTCCCTAGTCGCCTTTTACCAACATTAGGGCTCCAATCCCTGAGTTGAGTTTTTAGACATAGGGCCCCCATTCCCTAGTCGCCTTTTACCAACATTAGGGCTCCAATCCTTGAGTTGAGTTTTTAGACATAGGGCTTCCATTCCCTAGTCGCCTTTACCAGCATTAGGGCTCCAATCCCTGAGTTGAGTTTTTAGACATAAGGCATCCATTCCCTAGTCGCCTTTTTTACCAACATTAGGGCTCCAATCCCTGAGTTGAGTTTTTAGACATAGGGCCTCCTTTCCCTAGTCGCCTTTTTTTACCAACATTAGGGCTCCAATCCCTGAGTTGAGTTTTTAGACATAGGGCCTCCATTCAATAGTCGCCTTTTACCAATATTAGGGCTCCAATCCTTGAGTTGAGTTTTTAGACATAGGGCCTCCATTCCCTAGTCGCCTTTTTTACCAACATTAGGGCTCCAATCCCTGAGTTGAGTTTTTAGACACAGGGCCTCCATTCCCTAGTCGCCTTTTACCAACATTAGGGCTCCAATCCTTGAGTTGAGTTTTTAGACATAGGGCCTCCATTCCCTAGTCGCCTTTTTTACAACATTAGGGCTCCAATCCCTGAGTTGCATTTTTAGACATAGGGCCTCCATTCCCTAGTCTCCTTTTGCCAACATTAGGGCTCCAATCCTTAAGTTGAGATTTTTAGACATAGGGCCTCCATTCCCTAGTCGCCTTTTACCAACATTAGGGCTCCAATCCCTGAGTTGAGTTTTTAGACATAGGGCCTCCGTTCCCTAGTCGCCTTTTACCAACATTAGGGCTCCAATCCCTGAGTTGAGTTTTTAGACATAGGGCCTCCATTCCCTAGTCGCCTTTTTTACCAACATTAGGGCTCCAATCCCTGAGTTGAGTTTTTAGACATAGGGCCTCCGTTCCCTAGTCGCCTTTTACCAACATTAGGGCTCCAATCCCTGAGTTGAGTTTTTAGACATAGGGCCTCCGTTCCCTAGTCGCCTTTTTACCAACATTAGGGCTCCAATCCCTGAGTTGAGTTTTTAGACATAGGGCCTCCATTCCCTAGTCTCCTTTTACCAACATTAGGGCTCCAATCCCTGAGTTGAGTTTTTAGACATAGGGCCTCCATTCCCTAGTCGTTTGTTACCAACATTAGGGCTCCAATCCCTGAGTTGCATTTTTAGACATAGGGCCTCCATTCCCTAGTCGCCTTTTTACCAACATTAGGGCTCCAATCCTTTCTTTTGCATGTTTTTTTTTTCTCCTTAGTTATTCTATTGCACTTGGCTGGTCTCAAACATTTGATTCTAATTATAAGCTGTTTGCCTGCCTAGATGGAATTCAAATCACTTTAGGCCTTTAGTTAGTTAACTAGACTCCTTTACTGAATAAAAGCGGCTATATAAAATTGCACAATAGGCTAAAGCATGTATTAAAATCAGATAATGGGCCAATTATAATCCCAGCCCGCCTGGTGAAGGCGGTGACGCTGCTATGGACACAGCCACATGGGTTTGACATTTGGTTTGTAATAACTGATAATATTTTCCTCTTTCTTTTTATTATGTATATATTCTCTTTTCTCTCTCGCTCTCTATTGATGTATATATTCTCTCTTTTTCTCTCTCATTATGTATATTCATTATGCTTTCAGTAGTTTGCTTTGTAGTTTCTTTATTTTGTTTTTATATTAGTCAATGTTTAATTCAGTAGCTTCTTGTTTAATCTAATAGCTTTTGATGGCCTTTCTAGAGCAGCCAACAATGGATGGCGTGCTTTTGAGGAATGAAAAAACCTAATTGAGTATGCTTCACTTGGCCGACAAAACTAAAAAAGAAATGAAGAGAAGGAAAGGCAAGAAAAAGAAAGAAAGAACAAAAAGAAAAATGCAAACAGAAAGTGAATAAGTCGAAGAGTTGAAGGGATTCAAAGAAAAGTAGTGATGTAAAGCATGGAGAAAGAAAAGAAGGAGAAAATGAATATCATGACCAAGAAAGAGTGATGTTAAGTCTCTCTAGTTCCCCTAAGGAAAAGAAAATGCCTCAAAGAGGTTATAAAACATGAGCCGATAAGATAAAATGGAGTGCTTAAGGAAAGATGAAGCTGTTCTATAATAACATATCCAACCTTAGTCCAAAAAGCCTTCATTACATTCCGAAAAAGCCATACGTGATTTCGAATTAAGTAAGCTTACATTAGTTGTGATCTACATGAGGGGCCTTGTTTATAATTCATATGTGTTGAGGGGTTGGTCCCAATTGATGTGTGATTGATGCATCTTTGATTAGCTAGAATAGCTCTTAACTTGTCGGGGGGAGTACGCTATTCTTAATCTTGCAATCTTTGATTAAAATAGACATAGATATGTAAATTGAGATAGCATACTGTTCGAAGCGACCAGAAATGCTTAAGTGTTTTATTTATGGGAGTATATGTCGTTTGGATTGGGTGACAAGACCGAATACAGTAACTCTCTGAGATGGATCATCAGGCAGTCGCATCCTCCCAAGCCTTTGGCCAATTTGAGCGAGCAATTTACAGTTGAATAGCTCAATATGTCGAAGGTTTCCTGCGCGCCTCTGCCGCAGGGACTTAACTAGCATGTCGTCAATATACTCCATTGATTTTCCTATTTGTTCTTCGAACATCCGATTTACTATGCGTTGATAAGCTTGATCCCGCATCTGGTTGCCCGGAGTAAGTGCCAAGAAAACTGAGCTCCAATCCTACATTAGCTAACCAATCCGGGTTAATGGCTATTAAGGAGTTTGGATCCTTAGAACTTCAATTCCTAAATGGCCCCCCTGGTGTTCACCGGTAGGGTTATCTCCCTCTAGTAGTTTTGCATGCCATGTTGAATCCGTTTAAACATTTGTATAGCCCAACTGCTCTACGACCCTCGATCTGATGATGTTGGCCGAGCTACCTGGATCAATCAACACACCTTTAACTTGAGATTTATTCATAAGTACAGATATTACCAATGTGGCCATCGTTGAATGAAATGGCCCCTCCGATAATCCTTTCTCTGGGGGGTCGGATACAATGAGGCCGTTTTCCTTTTCTGGGCCCAACTGGCTACTCTTTCCATTTAGACGAGGTTACTTCCAGTCGTATATTAGACGGACAACCAGATATCGAAACACTGAAAAAACTACATTCCAAGATTATTTTCGATCCTGGTCTATGTTGCAACACGTCTCTTGCCATCAAGTTGATGCGAGCTTATGCAGCTTGCGGCCAACCTAATGTTAGTCGCCAACTGTTTCAAAATGCTTGACAGGAATGTGGTGGTATATAATGTCATGATCAGGAGCTATGCGAATAACAGGTTCTATCAAGATGCTATTTTTGTTTACAAAGATATGTGTAAACAAGATGTTAGTCCTGATAACTTTACATTTCCTTGTGTTCTTAAAGCTTGTTTTGGCTCTGATAATTTGAAGGTGGGGCTGCAAATTCACAGTGCTGTTAGCAAGAGGGGTCTCTATTCTGACCTATTTATTGGGAATTGCCTGGTGGCATGGTTAGGAGGCTCGGATGTTGTTTCTTGGAATTCAATGGTTGTTGGATATGCTCAAAATGGAAGGTTTGATGATGCGTTAGAGGTTTGTAAGGAAATGAACTTATTAGGTCATAAACCAAATGCAGGAACCATGGCTAGCCTTTTACCTGCGGTAAGCAATACCAGCATTGAGAATGTCTTGTTCGTCAAAAATATTTTCTTGAATATGGATAAAAAGGATTTGGTTCCATGGAATGTGATTATAGCTGTATATGTCAAGAATTCTATGCCTAATGAGCCGTCAGCTGCATCGTTGGGAAGGAGGATTCATGAATCTGTTGAAAGAAAAGGTCTTAGGCCAAATTTATCTCTTGAGAACTCCTGGTATGCCGATATCTGTTTGGGGTAAAGATTGTTCCGAGGTTAGAACATTATGCCTGCATGGTTGATTTAAAAGGACGCGCTGGATGCATAAGTGAGGCCTACAATTTCGTCAAGCAGATGCCTATGGATGAGAGTATCTGGGGTGCTCTTTTGGGTGCTTGTCGGTTGTACAATGATATGGACATTGGTCTTGTAGCTGCAGACAATCTTTTTGAATTGTCCCCAAAGCAGTCTGGTTATTATGTGTTGCTATCAAATATTTATGCAAAGGCTGGAAGATGGGAAGATGTAACGACTGTTAGGTCAATCATGAAGGGAAGAGGGATTAAGAAAATGCCCGGTATCAGCAATGTTGAGATCAATAACATGGTGCACACCTTCCTTGCTGGGGACACGTCTCACCCACAATCAAAGAAGATCTATGAAGAGTTAGACATATTAATAGGCAAGATGAAAGAGGAAGGATATGTCCCAGAAACAAATGCTGCCCTTCATGATGTTGAGGAGGAAGACAAAGAAACATCTTAGTTCCCAGCTAGAATCACTAAGAACCTACGTGTATGTGGAGATTGCCACATTGCTGCCAAGCTTATCTCCAAGATCACGCAACGTCTGATTGTTGTTAGGAAATCGTTGGGCTCTCCTTGAGGCAAAGGTCTATGCTTACATCAGTTGCTCATTATGATCTGTGAGAAAATAAATTTTCTTCACTGTCATGTTCTTATTGCTAAGTGACGTAGAGATGCAATAATTGTTCCAGTATGCACAATCAGCATGCTACATGTAAATCTGAATTCTAAGTTCGTCTAATAAGACACTAGTAATTTTTTGGAGTAATTATATGTCTTGTGCTGCTTTATTAAAAGACTGATTGGATAAGAAATAGTGAGGTCGGGTCAATTATCTTTGCATGTATTAATAAACAGGACTAGTTGCCTCCCGGATGTGACACTATTTATGATAAAAGTAATATATAGAAAGAGGCTAGAGTTACTTACTAACTTGTACCTGTGGGAAATAACATATATCTAGTCTAGTGAAATAAATAAGCTGATTGGAACAACAACATATTAAAAAAGTCAAAAGGATAGCTGGTGTCAACTCCATATTTGAATTTGATATAGGAAAAGGAATTTAGAGAGAGGAATTATACAGCAATAATGGCTACAGCTTCTTCTGTTTCATCTCCTTCAATGGAACGGATCATGTCACTTCCACATTCTTCCATGAGGTTGCATCATTCCAGTGTCTCTTCTCTGCTTCATCTTTCTCCCCAAGCTGCTCCTTCGTCGTTTTCATCGTCTTTTAGGCCGCCATCAGGTATAATTTCTCTCAATACATCTGTCTTCTTTCTTCTACGATTCCCAGATTGCCGTTTTGGTGTATATATACTACTGTTTTATGAAGTATAAAGCGCCCATTATTAAGGAAATACAAACATTGATCAATTGACCTACAACAACAACAACAAACCCAGTATGATCCCAATAGGTGGGGTTTGAAAAGGGTAGTCTGTACACAGTCCTTACCCTTACCTAATGCAGGTAGAGAGGCTGTTTCCAATAGACCCTCAGCTCAGGGGGTAAAAAGAGGAAAGCAAGGCAGGAAGAAAGAAGGAAGAGAAAAGAAAAAGAAAAAGGGAGAGATAAAGGATAAGTAGTACGTACCAATACAATACCTGAGGCTAATAAAATCACATAACGTAATAACCCTCATCTCTGCTCCCCTACGTCTGCTTCATGGCCGCAATAGCATGCCAGTGTCGCGACAGTTAATCTCCTTACCAGATGAATCGCTTCCGAGCACCCGATCCAACTGTGGCCATCTTCTTCGTTTGCTGTAATCCAACTATGTATAGTGGGATGGACTCGAAAAGAAACCAACAATCTTCCTTAGCTTAGTAATACATTGTGACTAGCTTTCTTCTTATGTTAGCATGAAAGAAATGCAGATTATCTTGCAATTAATATCTATTCTACAGTTGGTATAGACATAGGCTAGAATAGCATATGCACTGGAAGAGTTTTCTACTAAGAATTTTCAGGATCTTGTACTCCATGCTGAAATTTATTACTAGTAAAGTTCGCAGTGAATATATCACCTTGGGAGTATGAGTTGAGATTTTACACATAGGGCCTCCATTCCCTAGTCGCCTTTTTACCAACATTAGGGCTCCAATCCCTAAGTTGATATTTTAGATATAGGGCTCCATTCCCTAATCTCTTCCGTCTAGATAGAAACAATCCTTATTTTACTGCTTTCAAAAAAAAAGAGTAAGTTCAGACTTTTGTCACAAATAACTCACAAAATCATAGGGCCT